TGCAATCCTTACATTCAAATGTACAATGATGACTCTTGTAATGATGGGAAAAGCTCTGCTGACAGAAAAATTTGATATGATAGTAAAATGGGGAGAATGTTCTGGGAAAGAAGGGTAGTGTGTTGGCCTCGGGAACAGCAAAAGCATGGTTTAAATCCTGTGAGGATAAGGTGAAGCTATTGTATAGTATAAATGAAAATTCGTCTATCTTTATTCAGGGGGAAATTAAATTTAAGGCAAAAGTATGCTTTATATATAATTTACTATCAATTCACAATTACCCAAATATACAACAGTAACCATGATATATTTATGTTAAAAAAGACTAATTATGCCTCAAAAATGTTTAGTTTTTAAAACAATCGGCTGATTATGCTATAAGATATATTTGGACTTATTGAAGAAAAGAGGTGGCTAGGGAAACAGTTGTGGGCATTGAAAATAAGATAGACAATTGTGAACCAATGCCATGAATACAAATAACTAGGATAAAAGTGAAGTTTGTGCTCAAATGAAAATAAGTATGGAGTGCTGGATGCAAATAGAATAAAAAGGCCAGATATAATTCAAAACTCCGATGAGGACGCACGAATGAAAAATTAAGAAGAGGCTGTGGAGTAGGTGTGTGAGCAGACAAGCAAATTCTTAAGTGGTCAAATAAAAAGACAATAATCACTTGGTTTCGAAAAGGAATCATCAATAACATTTGATAAAACTTTTGCATATATTTAGTTAGTACGTGCTGATTATTACAAGAAGATTCGAAGCAACGCCAGGATAAGCGCATGACTTAACCCATGGGATATTTAGAAAGAAGAACATTCGAAGTTGATTGTCAAAAATCGACGACTTCCTGATTGGAACGATATCAGAAACAGATAAGTCACGTGTAAAAATTTAACAGTTCTATCCTAATAAACTAATGCTATTAAATATGCCAGGCTCGGTGAGAGGCCAAGTCCACACTAGAAGCTTGATTAAACCGTAATCAAAAATGAATGGTGAATATTGTTGAAATATACAAAATTCAACGGATAGAACGTCTTGAAGATAATTCTTACCCTGGCCAGGCAGTAAGGGAATTTGATTATCCTCCTTATACCTAAAACATTCTTTTTCATTCGGCTCTATGTTAGGGCTCAATGCGAAAGTTGTGGGTGCTGCAGTTTCAGATCTAAAGGCAGCAAAGTTAGACGCCAACGAAGCAGTCTCAGCTTGCACCAAGTCTCCAGCTGAGACATCCTCTTCAGCCAAGGTTTCTTCTGGACGCAGAGTAGAACGCGAACCACGATCCTCTGCGGCCTCCGGAGGTACTAAAAGCATGAGACTTGAGGCTGGAGGCCCATTATTTGTAGTGGACAGAGTAGTTAAGGGACCAACAGGGCAGATCCCAGCTTCACAAGGGCTGAGACTTATTGTGAATTTGGATGGCGTCTTCTGCTGCTGACCTGGACAAGAGATTGGAGAATTCATGTAATCAGATGGGCTGGCAGGCCGTTCTCCTGGACTAGAGCTCGAACCCAAACTCCCAAGACTGGCATTGCTGGTACTAGAACTGTCACCACCGCATCCACCATTGGAAGCATCTTGCTGACCACGACCTAGAGTGAATATTGGACGAATAAGACAACCAGGAGCCAAGGGTTGTCCAGACGAGACGAAGGTGCCGGTGCCAAAGACACTGGCTGCGGATGCACGGTCAAAACAATAGCCAAGAAGTGAAGAAGTAGAAGCTGAAGAGCGCATATCACGGCTGAGAAACCAGGAATTATGACCTAAACGGAAAAGTGTCTTCGTCAGAGTAAAGGTCCTTAATATGACTTATTGATATCCTAAGCGTTATAATCTTCATATACAAGTGTAATAACATTTACAATTTTATTACTATACAATTTTAAGGGCATTAATAATTATACTTATTGCACACGAAATGGCAATACTTCATCATTATAAAAACACAGAGAAGTGAAACATTTTCATTATGTTTTGGAAAAGACAAACAGGCTTGAGCTACAAGTAAATTGGATAGCGTATATATGCAGCTTTCCCAAAAGTTGTTCTCATCCGGGACGCATAGCAGTTTCGACCTCGCATAGGTCTTATCAACACCCCAAATGGGAGTCGAACATAGACAGTGCAGCGTGTAGGCTCGACATTGTCACGAGTGCAATTGGGTCACAGGGCAAATGTGAATTTCAAGGAATGTCAGACATTTTCGATATTACATTCTGCGTTGGGATCGTCGATGTAGCAAACTTATATTTGCTATGCAATCGACGACATTACTTTTATATTGAGTGAGTAGGTTTTCAACACTGTCAGTAAATCAGATATATGAAAACACATTTGGGGAAAGCAAGGATATGTGAAATTCAATGGAAAGCATCAGCTCTACTTATAGCATTGCAGAAACTTCAACTACCAGTACTTCACACCTTAAACGAAATAGGGTGAAAACAACTCATATAAACATCATTATGTTTCAATAAATGCACAAACTATAAAAACATACCGCAAACGATAATATTAGGGAACTAGGCAGAATCAATTAATGGTTAATTACAAGATGCAATACCCATTGTGATAAATGCTATCTGCCAAATAAATTTGTGGAGAAGTTATGGAATTTATGCCGTAAAGACAAAAAAGTACACGGATGTGACAGAGGCGATTTCAATATGCAGAAAGCAGGGGACTTCTGGGTAACAACGATGAAGTAGATGAACATAAATTAATATATACATAAGTCTATCTTATCACTACATCCAATAGTTGGACCTTCATATTAAAGCGTACAATAAAAGTGACACCTTTATAGATGAAATGTCGATCTGACTATCAGTAAAGATAACTTATAATTAAAAAGCAAGTAAAGGCGATAAGATCGAAGGCTTAAAGCTATTAAAAAATAGAATTGCCGAGAATTACGCAAATTGGATCATGAAAATAAATATAACTGTCGGGTAGTCCTTCATTTAGTGTGAAAGTGCATGAAGATGAGATTCGAAGGTTAATCGCACCAGATTCTTAGTTCTAATATGACGCTTAGGCTGACGCAGTCCACGAGAAATCCACCCTCGCTTACGTTGAAAATGCGCTGAGTTTTCATCCATCATATGATGGACATGATCAAAGCTGGAAAAGCTTCTTGTAAAAATTTCACAACAAAACTAGGTTGAGAAGAATATCGGCTCAATCTAAAGTCTTATATAAACAGATAATTTAAAACGGAAATGAATGAGCATAGATAGGCTAGTCTAGCCTCTTATTTGAGGCTCATGTCGCTCTCTTACGCTTCCTGAGATGTTTATTTCTTAATTTCCTATACTCGCTATTTTATGCAGGATATCGTTTGTTTCGTTGATTTTAATCGACTTCCTAATCTTCTACTTCCACTTCCATATCCTGCTAGCAGGACAATAGCAGCAATAACCTGAACAAAGATTTGGCTAATTCCTTGTTTTGCTCTAAATAGTCGACTACCCCATGCTATTTTCCAATATTGTGAAATAAGTGAGAATTACTTCTAATGGGCTAAGTATTATGAAGTAAAATTGTTCCTTACATTTCTATCTTGATCTTGGTGAGTTAACTCTATTATATGCAAACCTCTCAATATATTTTTTTCAATAACCCTATATCTTTAACTAATGATTATGATTAAACCAGAATAGAAAAACCTGTATTTGTAGCTCTCCTTTATATACCAAACACAATCAGTTCTCTAACCAGGGCATCTAAACAGGTTAAATTACGATCTTGTTCTAACTCCACTGTGATATCAGTAGTTCTTTCTTTTATATTCACTGAAGTAAAGGTTCCATCGGACTCTGCCATGTTTCCAAACAGCGAAGTTTTAAGTGAACGATACAGTTATTCTCTGAAATCATAGACAAACACGATCCCAATGTTAAACCTCGTATTTTTTATACATAGCATAGGTCTTCAGGCAAGGTGTGTCCAACAAGCTAGCCATAACAACACGACCAAGTTGTCTAAACGAGGTCAAACCACTCCATAGAAGTAACGCTACTTGATGAATATAATTGCCTGACCATCATTTTCTTGGCCTTTGTGTAAATGGATGAATTTCGAAAGGATTGGACATGAAACTGCTATCATATCAGTTTTCGAAAAAAGTTAAGTAAGCTAGTGAGCAAGTGAAGGAACAGAAAAACGTATAAAAGAAAAAGGATAAGACCCTAAGTTGTCTTCTTTTCGAAAATTTTCGGACTAAGTTTTAGGCTCATTTAGTTATGTGCGGGAGATCTGTCTACCTATACGAAAGAGGTTATTTGGACACAAAAACTCTCAACTGGCCCAACACTGTTATACATGACACGTAATAGAATGGACTTAATTCTAGTCTTAAGTCTTCCTGTTGAATCTCTCAGTAAAGACCTATAACTGTCGTTCTCATTTAAATTAACTAGCCTTTTTTCTACACAACTTGTCAAATCCATGACTACCACTGCTCCACCTGTGTAGGCTTTCATTGCGATTAGATTACAACCACAGAGATATCTAGAAGCCCTACTAAAATGGCAATCTTGCTTTGGCAGTATTATATGGTCAAGATGAGGGACCACCTC